TTCCTTGAAAATTGCAGCCCCCCAGCTTTCCTGGTTCCCGAGTTAGCCGTTTTCCCGCCAAGGAATTTCACGGGCTGTACGTAAGTACCACACACACTGAGGGGCTGAGTTTGACAATTTTAAGTTACACATGTACTGGGAACAATCCCTGAAGATTTCAGTCCTCCAGCTCCCTTAGTTCCTGAGTTAGCGATTTTCGCGCCAGGAACCCTCACGGGGCCATACGCGGGAACCATGCCCAATTCGGGGCTGAATTTGAAATTTTTGAGTTCTATGTGGACGGGGGAAGTGACCTCAAAATTTCAGTTTTCCAGCTTTTGTGGTTCCCGAGTTAGCGATTCTCCCGCCAAAAATTTCACTCTCCCGACGCGGGGCTCAGACTTGCGTGAAGCTTGGCGCCGCGGTCCTGGGGTAGCACTTGGCTGGAGAACCCACCGGCAAAATTTTGGCGCCGGAGCTCGCTTGGGTGCCAAGTTGAAGTATCCGAACAGAAGCGCGCGCGCACACACACAAACACATACACATACACACACACATACACACACACACACACACACACACACACACACCGGGGTCGTCACAATATGCGTTTTTGCATTTGCAAAGCAAAAACGCATAAAAACAGACTGCCGACATGCGTTTCTATACGTTTTGCACTGTAGTTACACAGTGCAATACGAAAAGCATACTATTACGCCTATGTCTATGTGTGTTTGTGTGTGTGTGTGTGTTTGCCCGTGTGTGTCTGTGCATGTGGGGATGGGGCACATTTTGTCCCGCACTTTCAACTCAGGAACCACGAAAATTGGGGAGCTGAAACCTTAGCAAAATGCCCTCCGCCCACGTACAACCACGCAAATTTAAAACCTTTATTGTATCCTATGCTTTATTGTATTCTTAGGGATCACGTACAGCACCGTAAAAATTACTGTCTCAGAAACCACGAAAGCTAAGAGGCTAAAATTTTGGAGTAATGTTCTTTGCTCAAATACCACCTCGCAAGTTCAAATTCAGCCTTCCCGTGCGTGGCGGAGAAATTATTATCCCGGGAGCGAAAACAGCCAGGAAGCCGAAAATTTCAGATGGATGATTTTTGCCTATGCAGAGGCCTCACAAACTCAAATCTGGCTCCAAATATGCCTTTCACGTAAAACCACGTTGAAGTTTTGGTGCGAAAATCGCTTGGAAGCCAGAAAACAAGGAGATTGAAATTTTGGAAGGACCTCTACCGTCCAAAGTTTAAAATTCAGCTTCTACGCATCAGTACGTAAAACTTTAGCGGAAAATTCCACAGCTTAGGAACCGGACAAAATATCGACCACTTTTATACAGATGAAACTGTAAAACAGTGAAAATTCGTAGTAGGCAAAAGTCTACTAAACTGAACTGCGTAAAACGCGTGATCGCACCGCCACCCTGGTACACGTCGGCAATTATTAAAACTCGGCTCGATCGTTACTGTAACCTCCCTGCTAATGCCATTTCGAGGCGTCGCTCATCGACGCCGCTTGACAATTTGTCAGGAGCTTTGAGCGCTACCAGTGCACGACAGATGGAATACGTGGTTGGGGAGGATGGGGGG